CAAGGGGCACCATGAGTGTGAACTGACTTAACCTGTGCACTAGTTAAGCCCTCAGAAAAGATTCCTGTAATATTATTAATATTATCGTATGTGAAATAGTAAAGCACATTGTCCAAAATAAAAAACACATGGAAAAAAAAATCCCTGCAAGGAAGGTCCTTCATTTTATAGGTGAGGAAATCGAGGCTTAGGGAAGTTGCGTGACTTGCACGGGCTGAGCATTTGCCGTTTCATCCGCAGAATTTCTCTGTTGCAGGAGAAACATGACTTGCTTACACACTCTACCCCTCGGCACTGACACAAAGGCTTCTTGGAATCAGCCATGGAAATGCCTTGCTGAGGGCAGGTCCAGGTTTCCTCTCTGATACCCTCTCACTCTGGTTGAAACGTTAGGATGTGGCCTTGCACGTGGACGTGAAATTGCCCCTCCCCCAGCGCCACCGCATTCACTTTTGCTGCAGTTAAATATTTATATGTAAAGCACTTCTGAAGCAGGAGAAATAAAAAGCAACTGTGGCAAACAGAGTAACACCATCTTGCCACTTCCTTCCCGAGGCCCTTCCGCCACCGCTGTGTGAGGAGGTGGAAGGGGGCTGCGGGGCTTTGACTCATTAGGGGCGTCTTCGAGTTGGCGTGCACGTGGTCTGCCAGTGGCCTTTGTCCGCCTGACGGGGTCTCCTGCTCTTCTCCTGTCCATTAATGGCTGAAAGTCTGCTCACTGTTAATACATATGTGAAGCCACTTTCACACCCACCCGTCATCCTGCCTCAACCCCTGGCTAACTTTCGACTCCATAAACCCCTTTGCTGGCTGGGATGAAGTATAGGGTCGACACGGGGCCACCTTTGTGACCTCTGAGGAGGAGTCCTTTCCTTTAGTCCCAGTGGTGTAGGCGATGAGTGAAGTGGCCGTGTGTCCCCGGTTGCACATGCCCTGTGGTCCCAGCGTGATTGTGAAGAGAGCCCCCTCCCACTCTTAGCAAGTGCGCTCGATGGGGCCGTCAATCAGATGCTCACTCTAGCTATCGACGTCCCCGCATATGGCACCCATTGGTGTTATTCTTTAGCCAATCTCAGACAAGCTGAGTGATTACTGAGCATCTTCCTTTTTGGTGCCACATAAGGAAACAGATTATCTCGCCGAGTACACAGATCATAGGAGAAAAGCCACAGACAGTTAGTGGTCCCCTGTGGGTCATCATTCATCTCGGTATAGTGTGAACACACATGATGGTATCGCAAGCCGTCCAGAGAGTGATTTACTCAGCCAGGCTTTGCCTTATGGGATTACAGCACTGGGGGGCAGTGGGAGGTGGGGGGCAGAGATCAACAGCCCCTTCTCCCTTCCTTCACTGTCAACCTCAGACACGCCTCACTTGTGAGAGGCTGTAGTTTCTCTTTATATCCTTCACGTGGTCCTAATGCGTGGGGTGGGGCGGGGCGGGGAGGATGCATGGGGACAGAGGGAGAGCTTTGTTTGATGTTTAAGCCAAGCAGCACGCAGCTCAGGTGTATCCTTTCACTGGCCCTGTGCTCAGACCTGCCTAATGGGCTGGCTCATCTTCACTTTTGCAGCCTAAATGGAGAGAGAGAGAGAGAGAGAAAATTTAAAAGCAAATGCATTTAATTTTTAAATGTTTCCTTGAGTTCAAACAAAATCATTAGAAAATATTTTAGGAGGGCCAAGTTAGAACTGTGAACTCAATGAGATATATTCTTTCATCATTAAAAAATGATGCTATTAATTCAAGGGCGTGCAGTCTTTCGCACTGCGTTTTCCCTGTAGGTATGTAACCTTGCTGATTCATTTTAACACTGGTGGTTTGTTGGAGTGTTTCTGACTCATCGGATGTGGATGGCACCAAACCTCATTTCTGGGACTGGGGACTGTCCAAAGCCCTAGCAAGAGCTCAGTGACTCGTTGAAGGGCTTATCCTTTTCCTTCTTACTTCTGGTTCTGAACCACACTCTGACCCCCTCGTGCCATAACAACCCTTATGTTTAATTTCCACAAAACCACTTCGCAAGGGCATTTGCATGGATAGCCCACTTTACTAAAGATCTGGGGGGATCAAGAGAAGAATTTACATCATAATAAAGCAAGTTGAAATTGGATACTGGATGGACGTGTTCTTCAAAAGTCCCGGGCAGTGCTGGAACTCACCTTGAATCTCCCACGTGTGAACTGACACTCCGTTCTCTCTTTTTCCGACCTTGTTTGTCGCGGCTTTCTTTCTCTTTTCTCGGTTCCCTCCCTCTCAGGATATAAAATCAACCTTTCCCAATTTTTATCTATTTGCTTTTAAATTGTTTAATGCAACACAGTTAAGCTCTCTCCAGTTGCAAGAGACCATTAAAATGAAGTTTGGTTCCTCTAGTTCCAAGGAAACAGTCTAATTAGAATTGATCCCTTGTAGTCCCTTCTCCCTAAATCCTCAGACAATGGCCATCCTTTTCCGTCCTCCCTGGAGGCGGTCATGGGTATGGGCCAGGCGCAGTGTGCTCTGGGCAGCCTGTGCAGAGGACAGGGAGAACCCAGGGCTTTGACCCAGGCAGGGTGTGAATCCTGACTTCCCTACTTCCTGGCTGTGTCACGGCGGGGGTGTAAGTTACTTGACTCCCCAGAGGCTCAGAGGCTGTTTTCTTACCACCAAAGATGGGAATTGTTTTACTTTTACTTTTTTTTTTTTTGCAAGTTGTGGAAAGGATCAAATTGAGTAACCCGCAAGTCGTGCAAAGGAGCCCATGATATAACACTTCTATGGTACCTGGCTCAATGCAAGGACTCAGCTGATGTCTCCTTTCAATGGACAAATACTCTCCTGGAGGGTTACCTATGTAAACATGAAATATTTATCAATTAATGTGATTCAAAAAACCGAAACTTGAAAAGGAGTCTTACTTTGAATTTTCTGATCAGACAGATCAGCCTCTCAGTTTGCCTTTGATGCAAATCTGTGCTTTCACATGCTGCGCTGGGCCCGCGGACGATGCTTCTGTGCAGAACTCAGCCCAGGCAGACGTGGCCGAAAGCAAGCTGTCTGCGCGGCATCGTCGACGTTGTACACATTAGGTGTTGGTGGTGTGATTGGAGGTCGCCTATGTGACTGAGGCCTTGTGTTGTCCGGGAGGCATCATTTCCAGGTGGGCCCATCAGAGCGGAATCGATAATGGGGACAGAAACCCTAATGAGGCCTGTGGCTGGGTGTGATGGTGCTCACAGCACAGTGAGGATGGATCATGTACCAGCAGAAAGGACTCGCCAGCTGTCTGTGCTCTAAAGCAGAGCAGAGTGGAGCTCCTGATGAGAATATGATTGTGGTCGGTTAGGTGGGTCTGAACCATGGGCAAAGACAGTCTGTAGACAGCCCATGCGGCTGGCTTTTACATTCTGGGGTGCCAGGGTTTATGTTAGAAACAGTGGCCAGCACAGATGTCATATTCTTAGAGGCAGCAAAGAATCGGCTAAAGACTTCAACAGAAGAGAATTTTTCCTATTGTTCGGTCAGTTGTCTAGGGGTCTGCCAAATCCATCCTGCAGCCTGGTTTTGTACAACACGTGAACTAAGAATGGTCTTTGCATACTTAAAGAGTTGTAAAATCAACCAAAAATATGGGACAGAAACCTCGCTTCCCCTATGAAGCCTAAAGTATTTATTATCTAGTACTTTGTAAATAAAGGTTGCAGATCCCTGGTCTAGAGAGTTTTAAATATCTCTGATTCATGCAGGCAACATATATTGATGATTGACTTTCACACTTGTAATCTGATTTGCAGCAACAATGTTGGTTTTAACAAAGCTTAAATGGCATTACTTAGAATAACTGTAATCATATTTCCATATTTAATTGTGTCTTGCTTGCTCCACATGGGGTCATTCTGGGGCACAGAGTCTCTAGTTGTTCTAGAAGTAGCCTGATGTCTGTTGCCTCCCCCTGAGACTCCCGCTGTCTTTTCCTCCCTGCATCTCATCTGTTTGCTCCTCCCCTCTCTTCTGGCCGGAGAGGGGTTGGCAGGGTCTAGCCCAGAAGGGCTGCTGAGAGATTTCACCTTATTCTGTGCGTGCCCCCTGGAAGAAGTGGGGCTGGTCTAGACCCCGAAGTAATGTCACTTTAGGGAAGGCACCAGTGAGTCAAAAGTCCAGAGGTGTGAGGGACCATCTCATGGAGCGTCCTGCTGGGGCTGGAGGCTTTGATAGTATAAGGTGGTGGTGAATCATCAACCTGGCCAACTTCTTGGGGATTTTAAGTTGTGTGGAATGCTAAATCCAGCAGGCAGCAAGGAGTCCCATCGTATTTTAAAAAGGAGCAATATGCGTCTTTGTGTTGGGGGACAGTGAAATGACAGTCACGAGACTGGCTGTCAGGTCAACCCTAACCCAGTGCAGGGTAGCGAGCTACATGCATTGCATGGACCATCTCATTCCATGTTCACAACGGCTCTGTGTGGGGAGGTGTTATTATTCCTGGTTTTCAAGGCAGGAGTTGTGGGCTTAGAGAGGTTAAAATAACTTGCCCAGGGTCCTGTGGTTAACACCAGGCAGAGCCAGAGTGGTCTGCCCCAGGAACCCAAGCTCCTACCTCCAGTACTTCTGAAACAAGCTCCATGTAAAACATTCTAACCAAACAGAAAAGAGTCGAAAGCAGCTGAAACCCTGTCTTCCAGGAATGGCCACTTTGGGTGACAATCCTTCAGACATCTTTCTATGTACATGCAAAGTAATTTGCATGCAGTTTGTATAACCCAGGGCTTCACCATGTGAATCTGGGGCTGCAAATTTTACCCCAAAAGGCACCATACTATATACACTAGTTTTTGTCCCCCCTTACAATGAGCTTTCTAATTGTAATTAGTGGGTGTGTAGTGTTTCGCTTTGTGACCGTACCCTCATTTATGTAACCAGTCGTCTGTAGATGACTGAAGGTTCTTGAGCAGGGAAATCATTATTATTTTTTTAAAGTTTTTAAACCACGGCTCATGCTTTCTCCCTTTCTCTGCAGCACGCCGTGGACGCTGACAACGCAGGGGTGAGCCCGATAGGGAACTCCTCCAACAACAGCAGCCACTGGGACCTCGGCAGTGCCTTCTTCTTCGCGGGGACCGTCATCACCACCATAGGTAGCGATCCGCTCGCTGCTCTCTTGTCCTCTGTGGGCCTCCTGGGTGATGGCGCCGAGTCAGACTTCGGCCCTCACCGAGTCCATGGTAGAGCTTGGGGTTGCCAGGAGACTGATGAACCACGACCGCGTTACCGCAGTGGTTGTCGTGGCTGTAAGTCAAAGGCAAAGCAGACAAAGAACTTCATTTTTCACCCTGGAAGACGCAGGGGCCGTTAGTTTGCCAGGACCTCGTGAGAAGGGGATAGAGTGAAAAGATGAAATGATGCGTCGGTCAGTGGGACTCAGACAGCTCAGCTGCGCTCAAATTCCTTTTTCTCCAATCGTAGATTTTCCTTAAAGTTAGTTATATAGGAAAGAACCAGAACGTTCTAGAAAGTTCGTTTATGAAAACCAGTCATTGTTCAGGCCCCCAGGGTAACCGCTTTATTCTCTTTTGCTTGGTTATTCCGATACTCATCTCCATGACTAAGTACCACACTGGTATGGCCACTTCCTGAATGCTTTAGGGTTCTGTCGGTTTCAGGGTTATGTCTTACTTCCTGCGGTGCTAAGATGAGGAATCCCTTCTCTCCTCCACTCCACTGGAGACGGGCTCTCTTCCCACCCTCCGGTCCTCCACCACAGTTGGATTAGATCAAAAGTGAGCATTTGCGTGTTTTTTTGACTAGGCGAATGCTCTTCATAGCTCACCCTATAGGGTGATCTGTACCTTCCTTCCTGCAGCGATTTTTCTCTTGTAATATTTGCATGCTTCCTTCTTCTCCTGACACGTGGGGAGTTTTATGTTTTTGTCTTAGGGGTTAACTTTATAGTTATAATAGTATATAACAACTTAGTGTTCTAGTCTTTAAGCAGTATCTATTACTATCCATTCAGGGCAATGACATCTCCCTCTCAACATCATCCTTTTAATTTTTAAGTATACATCCTTTTAGTATATTTCTGCTTCTGTTAGATGAGTTGCCCACTTCAGATGATAACACTTGGCTCTCAGCTATTGCCTGTAAAGTGAACTTAACATCCCACCTTCTTTCTCTCTTCCACTATCAATTATTACTCTTTGTGTTGTTCTATAACATTGGGTATATGATTTACATTCTGGTCTGTTCTGGTCCTCACATTTCTTTTAGTCGTAGTTCTCAGTTAAATATCGCTAGTGTTCATTGTGAGTCCCTTTGCCATGGGTTTCCTCATCTGATTGGCTGAAACTCATCTTCAGATAGTTCTCTTAAACATGGATTATGGGAGTGATAGTCCCTGAGTTCTTGTCTTCTTCAAAATGGTAGCTTTGCCCTTGAATGGCGGTTCAGCCAGAAATGAAATCCTTGAGTCACATGCTGTTTTTGAAGGGTCTTGTATGTGTTGTTTCACTCTCTTTGGATGTTTATACTGCTGTAGAGAAACCTGATGTCAGCCCAATGTTTTTTGCTTTTGTAAGTGACTTCATCTTTGGCTCAGCTGCCCAAGAGATTTCATCTTCGTCTTTCATACCACTACTAGGTTCTGTTTTATCGATTTCAGGGAAGTATTGCTGATTGTCGTCTCTAAAGAAATTTGTTTTATTGTTGTTCAATTACAGTTGTCCCCGTTTCTCCCCCATTGCTCTCCCCTGCCCTGCCCACTCTTCCTCTCCCACGTTCAATCCCCCTACGCCATTCTCCTTGTCCACGGGTCCTTTATACACGTTCCTTGACTTGACCTTTCCCCTTCTCTCCCTGGTTATCCTCCTTCCCCCACCCCTCTGGTCAATGTTAGTTCCTTCTTTATTTCCACATCTCTGGTTCTATTTTGCTCACTTATTTGTTTTCCTGATTAGGTTCAATTTATAGGCAAACACTTTTTTTTCTGTTGTATGGTTTTAGTTGTGTCCTTTGGGAATCCCAACCACACAGACATCATCATTTCTTTGCCTGTATTTTATGGCTGTCATTTTCCCACTATGCCTTTTTAACTCTTAAGCTCTGGTTCTCATTTTGGTAATTTTATCCTCTTTATTCCTTTTGTGTGTCTGTGTGTGTGTATGTGTGTGTTCTTCACAGTGCCTATTTTACCATTTGTTTCTTCCAATTTTTTTAAATTTTATGATTATTAGTGGAATTTTTTCCTTCTCTTTTCTTTCCTGAGTTCCATTAGCTCCCATTTCATCTTTACTTGTTATCTCACAATTTCTGCCCACCCCACCCCCAACCCTCCCCCAATTTCTTGCATTTCTGCGTGTGGTATCTCTGTGAAGGTTCTTAGAGATGATTACTTCATAGTTTGTTACCATTTGTCTAGTTGGGGCAACATTTTTCTCTTGAGTGTCTTTCATCCATTGGTAAGTTTTGCTGCTTTTTTCACATTTTTTAAAAGTGGAAGCTTAATATTAATGCTGGGCCAGTTTTTTTTAAACACTTGACACCAAACAAACTGAATGTTCCTGCACCAGCCATCTGCTGAATTTTCCATGGTTCTGGGAGGAGGAGAGAAGGGAGAAGTAGGTAGCTTTTCAGGTAGCACATCCCAAGGCTCCCTTCTTTTCCTGCTGCCGAAGAAACGCAAGTGCTTTCTAAAAATATGGTCCATCTGTGTTATTCCACAATTAGTCTTGCCTTGTCTGTTTTTCTGGACCAGATTAAGTTCAAGGGGGTTTGTGCTGCTATCCCTCTTCAACTTATATCCATACCCGGTGCAAACAAAGATTTTCTTTTTGAAGTTCAACATGAGACCCTCACTTTTTGGGGGGGCGGTGGGAGGGAGGGAGGGAGGAAGAGAAACATCAGTGTGAGAGAGAAACATAGATTGGTTTCCTCTGGTACATGCCCCAGGGGCTGAACCCACAACCTAGGCATGTGCCCTGACCAGGAATTGAACCCATAGTTTTTTGGTTTACAGGGCAATGTTCCACCCAACTAAGCCACACTGGCCAGGGTGAGACCCTCCCCTTTATAATTAGATTTTTGCCAGCACTTTCTGAGATTTGCCACTGATGGGCTCTTTTGTTATTCTCTGTTTTTCTTCTATTTTTTTCCCTGTATGGTAGAATTTCTAGATGATATCCCTTTCCCAGTTCTGCTGAAAAAGTCTGACAGTTATCTACTCCCATGCAATACTGAACTCACATGGCAATAAAAATTTTCATTTAGAGATTGAAAGACATACAGCAGCCCCTAGTTCATAGCAATGAAGGACAGGCATGGGGGCCCCTGCCCTCAAGGTGGAAGGATTCCTTCTTTAACGTCTGGAAGGAAATCTCCCATCTGTTGCCCTCTGGAGACCAGCTGTGCCATCTGGCAGGTGCTTCTCTCTCTCTTGTCCTTCTTGACCACATGCTAAATGGGTGCTGGAGGGCAAGCCTTCCTTAAGGGGGATGCACATCTTTGGTAATCAACTTCTTCTTGGTGGAAGTTTCAGAGGCTAAGTGTTGTTTGAGAAGCACAACCTCTAAATTTTTCTTTTTGTTTTTAGGCCTAGCATGTAGGTCCTGTAATGTTCCTACATTGGTGCGATCAAGAAAGTTATGGGCAGTAAGACCATTTGGAATGAAAGAGAATTGTCCTTCCTGTTTAGAAAGATGTTTCATCTAATTACATGTCAGACTAGGTTCACACTTGCAAATTCACGGATATGTTGAGATCAATGATTATAAATATTATAGGTGTACATTGTGTTCGTGGGTCTGGGGCCTAGAAGCCTTTTCAGATGCTCCAGACCAGACTGGGCCCTATTACTCCACAGCCTCACAGTCTGCAACAGAAAAGAAGAAAATGGAATTTTCTCATTTTATAAAATGACTGAATCGGTGTCCTGTACGACACACTGAAAAACACTGTAGCTACATTGGTATGAGTTCTGATGGCACTTATTGTACCAAATCATAGGAACCCAGGGGCTTGGTTATTGAACAACTGTGTTCATTGACCCACATGACAATTTGTGATTAAGGAATGGTGCTTCTAAAAGCATGAGTTAACGTCTGATATGTAACATTATCTGTGTTTTCATATGCTCATTCTAGAATCTTTGAGTTTCCTCAAATGACATGCAGTCCTTCCCTTCTGATGCCTGGCGTCCGTTTACTTATTCTGGTAGCCATTTCTCAGTGGGCCTCTTCCCCACACTTGGCAGGTCCCAGGGGAGGAATCACCTTGTCTGGACTAAGAATCCATTACCTTGCATGCGAGTGGCCACAGTCCTTAGGTAAGAGACGGACGTGAGATCTGGGTGAGCCCAGTAAGAGCCTCAGTTCCTGGGCCGTTACTCGACCTTTGGAGGAAGTGGCTTCCTTTCTTAATGGAGGTAGATCAGGAAAGAAATAATCGGCCGGGGACCCTGCCAGTCATTTTCTTCCTTTGATGTGTTGCTTTGCCTAGAATTTAGTTAACACTAAAGAAGCAGAGTAAGCAAGGGGGAGTGCTAAAGGGGGTCCCGTTCACACCCTCTGAGCTTTGGATGGAGCTGCCCATGAAGTGTTAAGAAATACATGTTAAATCTCCTATTTCCTGGGTTCAATGCATATTTCTTTCTGCTTAAGCCAGCTGCATCGGGTTTTCTATTACCTAACGCTGAGAAATTCTAACTAATAAACACCTAGGGGTCAGAGATCATGGAGGGCCAGTAAGCATCCTGTGACCTCCATGGCCAGGGCCTGACCGTGCTGGACGCTGCCGCTGTGTCTCCTGCCTCCTTTGGGCCACTCCCTCTGGATTTAAAGTCTCAGGCAGAGCATCCTGTGGGATGGGCCTGGGGGTACAAGTGCTTGTGTCCTGGCTGCTTGGGAAGGTGCCGTCTCTACAGCGGGAGGCAGGACACCGAGTCCTACCTAGGCTGGGGTGGGGTCCTTTCCCAGAAATCTGAAGGAGGGTGGACACTGAACAAGAAACAACATGCAGAACAGGCATGAAGAAAAACCAAAAATAAAACTCAACCCAAACTGCAAGCTCACTTCAGTATCATGACTTAGTATTAGTGCTGGAAGATTGGGTCCTTGTTTAATTCAATGGGGAAAAAAATGCTATT